ACCCACATGCACACACACACACACACACACACACACACACATGCATACCCACATGCACACACACACACACACACACATACATTACCACATGCACACATATATGTACACATATATATGTACACACACACACCCATGCATTACCACACATGCACACATATATGTACACATATATATGTACACACACACACACACACAAACATAGGCACACACCAGGATGTTGGGAAGTGAAAGAAGAAACATACAGGGAGACACAGACAATCACAAAGCAAAGAGGAAAAAAAAGAAAAGAAAACAAAACGAATGTTCATCCCTGCCACTGAACAGATGGACCCAAAGAGACAAAAGCAGACGCCGCCGTCAGCAATGAGGGGACAGAAGAGATCCACACACAGGCAGAGCAAAGGGACCGAGGGGCAGAAGGCAGCTGAGGCGACAGGACAGGAAGCCGGAGGCAGAAGAAAGATCGGAGGAATGTCACCGAGAAGCTCGGGGCCTGCCCTGGCCTCCCGGGGTCTGAAAAGGGTGACAGTGTGGCCTTGGGGAGTGGAGTGTAAAGGGGGCCTAGGCCATGGTGGGGGAGGGGAGGGGGAGCCAAGGCCAGACTGGCGCACTGCCCTGGTTAAGTCAGAGGAGAACATGCCTGGGGAGTTTGTTGTGCGTTACTTGGCGAAGTGGCCTCCTCGGGGGAGACGGCCCACTGGACACAAGCAGGTGGGTGGTGGTGACATGCGGGGCCCGGGCTCTCCGAAAGGCCCTGTGGAGTTACACACAAAGATCTGGTGGTGTGGGAGTGGCTCAGTTGGCAGAGCGATTGCCCAGCATTCGGAAAACCTGACGCTCAATTCCCAGCGTAAAACCGGGCGTGGTTTATAAGCCCCGCCCCTGTGAGGTGGAGGCGGGATTTGAGTGAGAAGGCCCCCACGGGCTCAGGTGTCTGAACACTTAGTTCCCAGATGGTGGCACTGTCTGTGGAGGTTCGGGAGGTGTGGCCTTGCTGGAAGAAAGGCATCACTAAGGGTGGACTTTGAGAGTCAAAAGGCCTGTGCCCTTTCTAGTCAGTTCTCTCTGCTTCGAGCTTGCTGTTCAAAATATGAGCGCTCAGCATCCTGCCCCAGCCACCACGCCGGCTGCCTCGGCCCAACTTCCTCACCAGGTTGGACTCTTAACCATAGGACAAACAAACTCTTCCTCTGTAAGTTACCTGAGTCACAGAAACAGAAAAGTAATTAATGCAAAGGATCGTAAGTTCAAGGTCATCCTCAGCTACATACAGTGTTTGCGGCCAGGTTGGGGTATATGAGACTCATCTCAAAACGCAACAAGCAATGGGGACTGGAGAGATGGCTCAGTGGTTAAGAGCACTGACTGCTCTTACAGAGGACCCAGGTTCAATTCCCAGGAACCACATGGCAGCTCACGACTGTCTATAACTCCAGCTCTAGGGCACCTGACACCCTCACACAGACATACATGCAGGCAAAACATCAATGCACATAAAATAAAAATAAGTATTTTTAAAAATGCAACAAGTAACGACAGCGAAAGACTCATTACTGTTTATGGCTGGATGTGGAAAAGAAATAACACCCATTTCCACAAGTAAGGTCCCCACCCTTGTCCTTATGCCCAAATATGTCAGTGACACCGTATAACGAGAGAGCTGGCCTGTTAGGAAAAAATCCCAACTTCACTACCACGTGACTTCAGATAGGGGACCTAATACATCTCACCGTGCTTTTCCATCTGTAAAGTGGAACTAGCCACAGCATCTCCCTTGAGAACAGTTTCAAAACTCGCGTTAGGGTAAGGAGCTTGGGAGCATGGAACTGGAGACCTATTTATAGTCTGAGGCCCTGTTCTAAAGTGTTTTTCACGTATACTTTAATTTCAGAGCACCCTTCTATTCATAGATTATTCAACACGCGCTAGAGCTCCGGCTGGAACAGACAGTTGGGGCTCGCTCACTCTTGCACTGACCTGTCCTTGTCTGTAAGCTCTGCAGTGCCAGCTTCCCAGCGAGAGAAGGGACGCTCAGCCTTTTGGGGGAGAGGCTGTGTGTATGGCTGGTGGGGGTAGGTGGGGCAGCGGTGGGCTGGTCCATGACGAAAAGCTGGCTCTCTAGGAGGAAATCCTCATTTGCCCATCTCCACGCTGTCCATATTCCCGCCACCGGAAACTTTGAGCGACCAATGTGGTATTTGCGAGTCTGGGAGTTAGAAAATGATGTCTGCTATGTGCCCAGCAAGGCCACACCACACAAACGGGCCCCCTTAGTGGGGTCTATCTATAAATCCCTTTTTACCTTGGAGCTTCCGGCCTCATCCAGGAGAAATGAGGGGATCGTAGTGCCCAGGCTGGCGCTGAACAGCAGGTTCTTCCCCAGTGGCATGGACACCAGCGCAAGCTAAGAAGTGGAGATGTGGAGGCCAGCACAGTGACTCACATATTACAGTTCTAGCTCTTGGGAGACAGAGGCAGGAGGATTAGGAGTTCAAGGCCAGCCTGGACTGCATGAGACCCTAATCTCCAAACTCAAACCAAGAAACTCAAGCAACAACAATAAGAAGCTAAAAGATAGGAGAGAGATCCCGGGGAGCAGAGGCAGGGAACCCCACAAGTTGGAGGCCAGCCTGGTCTACTTGGCAAGCTCCAGGTCATCATGAACATCATGAGGCTATCTTAAAGGGGGAAGGGGACAGAGAGATGGGCTCAGTGGGAGGCCAGGCTGCCATGGCAGAAGTCTGATGAACTGACCTACATAAAGTGGAAAGACAGAACTGATTCCACAAAGTTGTCCTCTGTTCTCCACAGTGCACCCCAGCAAGCATGGCCACCCACCTCATATCAATAATGAAAAAAATTTTTTTCATATAATTTATTTATTTTTATTTTATGTGCATTGGTGTTTGCCTGCATGTATGTCTGTGTGAGGGTGTTGGATCCTGGAGTTGTCTGTAGACAGTTCTGAGCCACCATGTGGTTGCTGGGAATTGAACCTGGGTCCTCTGGAAGAGCAGTCAGTGCTCTTAACCGTTGAGCCATCTCTCCAGCACTGAAAAAAATTTTTTTTGAGACAGGGTCTCACTATGTAACTCTGACTGGTCTAGAAGTCACTACATAGGCCAGGTTGGCCTGGAATTTACAGATATCCTCCTGCCTCTGCCCTCTGTCTTCTGGGATTAAAGGTGTGCATGACTATCCAACAATAAATAAAATGATGCAGGGAGATTCTCGCTCCAGGGGACAGGACATGAAGTTGGGGCCTAGCAGAGGGGGACTGATCGTTAAAAACGTTGCCATGGTTTCCTGAGGGTCAGGTTTGGTTGTGGGAGGAGAGAGGTCAAGCATGGTTCTAGCATTTTAGCCTGAGTAACAGGAAGGCTGGACTTCCTTCCAGAGTGAGTAAAAGACGTAGAAGGAACAGGCCGGAGGACAGACTGGAAGCGGGAGGTGGTTGGTTACCAGCTCCAGTGAGGGACTGTGGCCACTGGGGCAATCGGTGAGGTGGAACCTGTGTATATGGAAAATGGTGAGCCATGGGAGCTGACACTGATTGTGATTTTGACTGTAAAGACCCGAGAAGTGGTTCAGTGTGTAGGGTGCTCACTTACTGTGCCCAGATCCCAGGATTTGATTCGGCGTGACATAAACCATGGACAGCAGATGCCTGTCACCTCAGCACGTAAGCGGAGGCAGGAGGAGCCAAAGGCCATCCTCAGCTACATAGTGAGTTTTGAGGCTAGCCCAGGATCCATGAGATCTTCCCCCACCCCAAGAAAATACCATCACAACCAACTATTGTTTAAAATGTGATTTATCTTGGTGACTAAAGTTATGGTCCTCCACTCCCGTGAAGTGTATTGCTGGGGTCAAGGCCCTGCCTGTTACCTGATGTCCACGACTCCCAGCTGTTCTTTCTGTGCAGACTTGAGCTAACGGGGACATCAGCTGAGGAGAGACCATTCAGTGGGTGCACCCTGGACAAGAAATGTGGGAAAGCTCAAGTGCCTGTGTGGGTATGCTGCCGGCCGACCGAGTGCCAGGAGAGTGTGCACCCGCCAGCCCCGGCCCACCTGCCCATGATGGATGACATCTGTCTCCTGCTTTATTAAACTCAGCCAAGGTTCAGCCCTGGATTTGCAAACAGCTTAATAAGCATTTGGAAGGGATGGGGAGGCAGAGGCCTGGATTTCAAGGGGGTTACCAAGACCCAGACAGGAAGCAGCTTTTGCCCCGAGTGAGCTCCAGAAGGGAGTCAGGTGTCCCAGTGGGCGAGGGGTGGGGACGGAGGATTTGGTTTCACAGAGGCACTTGTGGCCCAGAGATGAGGGCCATAGGCATTTGCTGTAAGCCTCTCTAGCACCACCGGTCACACACCAGGGAATGTCCTGGTCACTGCTGTGAGGCAAAGCAGCACATAGTCTGGCTGAGGAAGAGTGGATGAAGGGAAAAGAGATTGTCTCCATTATCTGGGAGTTCTGAACTGAAGAGGGCAGGGACACAAAACAGGCCTCCATGTCTTGTGTGTGTGTGTGTGTGCCTGCACACATACACTTGTGTGCACATTTGTACAAGGCCAGAGGTCCACGTCAGGCATCTGTCTCATCTGTCTCAATCAATTTCCACCTTACTTCTGTCTCTACTTCCTCAGGGCTGGGATTGTCGTCATCTGCAGTGCCCAGCTTTCTCACGTGGCCGCTGGGCATCCACACTCTGGCTCTCACTCTTGCGCAGCCGTCAGTTTACAGACTAAGAAAGAAAGAAAAGCAGGAGTTTTGAATCAGGTCCCTTCTGAGATTTATCAGTGTCTTATGTAGCCCAGGCTGACCTTGAACTTGATTTGTAGCCAAGACTAGCTTTAAACCCTCAATTCTCCTGCCTCAGCTTCCCAGTGCTGGTAGTACTAGTGTATGATGCCAAATCGGACTCCTTCTAACAATTTAGTATCTTTTGCGGCTGAGAGATGGCTCAGACTGTGAGGTTCTTGCCACGTAATCACCAGAACTAGAGTCTGATCTACAGCACCCGAATAAAAAGCTAAGCACACTTGAAATCTCAGGACTAGGGAGGCACAGTAGGACTCCTGGGCCCCACTGGCCAGTCAGTCTAGATGAACCAAATGAGTACACCCCAGAATCTAGGGAGAGACTCTGTTTTGTTTAAAAACAAAACAAAACAAGTTAGAGGGGTCCAGTGAGATGTCTCAGGGGCTAAGGGTTCTGGCTGTACAAGTCTGGGGACTTGAGGCCCATTCTCAGAACTCAAATAAAGCTGGAAGGAGAGAACTGACTCCACAAAGGTGTACTCTGACCTCTGTGTGAGTGTCCTGCCCCGTCACGTACACAGACACAGTAAAAAGATAAAAAAGTAAACCAAGAAGGTAGAAGAACACCTGAGGCTGACCTGTGGCTTGCATATGAGTGCCCCCCACCATATACACACATATACACACAGATTTTTGTCCTCTGATAGCTTAGGGTGGTCTGTGGAGTCGCACTGCCTGGGCTCAGCTCCTGGGACCACCACTCTCTGGATGGGCGGGTAGATGATCTTGGTCTCTCTTGTTCCATCAGTTAACCGGGAACAGTTGGTTTTTCTACCTCATAAGGTTACAGGATGATTACCTGAGGGAAGGAATTTGTCCCGTGTGAGTGGCTTGAAAGTTCCCGAAACGTCTGTTGGTGTTAGCTGTCTCATGGCCGCCCGTGGCAGAACAGACACAGAGAGTTCTAGAACGTTATAATTGGCTTTTTGTATTTTACCAAATGCATGTATTTATGAATAATACCAGCGGCAAACCCTTTTCCCCCAGGAAATAAAATGGCCGACAGGAAGCTAGAGGCAGGCCTCAGTCTCAGCACTGCATCAACCCAGCCGCAGGGGCTCCCACCCTGGTGCTCAGCACCCGGCCTCACCCCCACCCCTATAGGCGCTGTTCCTGGTCCTCCCTGCCTTCGTCCCCTGGGTCTGCTCCTGGCCCAGCCCAGAGCTTCCCTTGCCCAGCTGCAGGAGCCAGGCACGGGAGCCCCAGCTCAGAGCTGAGCTGGGCTGGGGGCCAGCCCCACATCTGGCATCCATTACCAACGGTGGCTGCCGAGTGGACTCCTCTGCCTGCCACTCACCTATCTGCTGGGGTGACAGAGGAGATGTGGAAAAGGTTTTCACAGCTGGAATAAATTGAGGGGAAGTGGAGGGGGAGGGTCAAAAAGAGACAAAAAACAACATTGAACTCAAGACAGAGAGAAAAGACAGTATTTGAGGAGGTAATGAAGAAAATATGTGTGTGTTCATGCACCCGGGTGTGCATGTACGTATGTGTCTGGGGAAGGTGTGAGTGTGTGCCTGTGTTTGCAAATCAATGTGTCTGGAGAAGCATGGATGCAAGTAGATTTGTTTATGTGTCTATGTATGGTACTTACCAGCGTGAGCACCTGTGTGTGTGTGTGTGTGTGTGTGTGTGTGTGTGCAGTAAGTGTATGTATGTGTCTGGGATAAGTGTGTG